TTTTTGTAGCACGGCTTTGAGACGTGAGCAGACATCATCAGCGATGGCGGCGGGAAATACAAGTAAAAGAACAATAAACAGATTATCTGGTTTTGTACGTATCGACACAATGTGAAGCTTGTTTGCTCGTTTGCCGCGCTCATTCGCCAAAAAAAGGTTCACAGTGTGGCTCGCGGCAGATATTTTACGATATCAATGTTGAAAATTTATAATAATATATACGTACAGCTTGTCAACATGCATTACACGACGTCCGTCCTCCCCTTATATATATATATGGTTTTATAATTATTTTGATTAAAATTTAATAAGAAAAATGTAAAATATAACGCAGGAAATTTAAACAGTCCATGGTTAAATCTCGCTAAATCAAATTCAGTGGATAAGATTCGAATTAACTTGTTTTCACGGATACAAAAATCAAGAATCATTATGTGTACACAGATTTGCATGAATCAGAAAGCATGTGACTGTATGAATATAAAGATAAAAAGTAAACATTAAATGTTCTTATTGAAAATGATAAGCGGGAGTAAAGTTTACACCATATGTATAAAAACAAAAGGTTTTTTTATAAATTTTAACGGTATTATTTCTCTCGTCTTCGATGACACATTAATCACGAGAAAATGTATATACTACACGTAGCAATGACACTCGATAAAGGAAATGCGGGCTGCACATATATTTGTAAATAAGAAACCTCGATTTTAAAAGTGAATAAAATAAATACCACATTTTATAGATGCATATAAACTGGTTTATAAGAATGCCCACAAATACTCACGTTTTCCATTGTTCAAGTTCACAGATTATATTAATAACTAAACAATATGAATTTTATATAAATGTTCGAATACGCGGAAAAGGGTTTTAAACAATTATGCTACCGATTGATAAGGTTTTATTTTCCTTGTTCATGTTGTTAGATGGTTATCTTCAGTGCAAACTTTTCCGATGGCCACGTTCATGGTATTTTAATCCCTTTATAACGAGTTCCGAAGTGCATGTACTTAATACACGTGTAGTACAATTATGTCTGACGTCATATCTTATACACAAGTATGCTAGTAATTGGTCTTTTCCTACTGATATTTTCGGTATTTTAAAAATTACTTTTATTCACTTCCTCACACACTGCTAATATCATAATATGAACTCAATAAATATAATATTTCTGATCTCTATACAAAAATAAAAGTAAAAGAAAACATTTAGCTTTAAGTACAGTTAACTTTAAATCAAAGTACGGACTTAATGTTTACTCCCAACTAGTTTATCACAAAATCTAATTACTTGCGAATTCATGGTACACATTTCCATCTTCTTAAAGACCCTTTGAAGTATCTCACACTGATATGTTAAACACGTTCAAAGTCAAAAATTGCAGTCGTTATGTTTTAGGAAAAAACATGTTTTTAAGAAATCAGGTGGTTCTGTGTGGACATTGGGTCGAAAAGAAAGAAAGGTACCGTGCACCTTATGAAGGCTGGATAATTATTTAAGTGAAAGTCCGCATCTGATCGAACGTGAATGTGTATAAGACAGTCACACAGACATCCTCCCCGAATGTGTCTTCCTACGATAACGTGAATGTGTATAAGACAGTCACACATACATCCTCCCCGAATGTGTCTTCCTACGATAACGTGAATGTGTATAAGACAGTCACACATACATCCTCCCCGAATGTGTCTTCTTACAATAACGTGACTGTGTATAAGACAGTCAAACAGACATACTCCCTGAATGTGTCTTCCTATGATAAATAATTAGTTGTTTGAATAAATTGTTTTAACAAGAGATTTAATTCAAAGTAGGCTATTTTTGTTCGTTAAGCTTAGTTAGTAGCGGATGGAGGAATTGTTCAAAAGTGGACGAGTAGTAACATGTAACTCGGGATAGAGAGGAAGGCCACACCTTATTTTTCACTAATATTTACTCGATTTGAAAACAATTTTTCTAATTGGGACATGTGAATCCGAAATCTTTAGTTGTACAGGTAAACTTACTGACTTTGAATAGATAATGGTTTAACATCGAAATGTTTTTAATTTTTCATTTGTGTTGCTATTTGAAATAAGCAATATTTTTTTTATATCTGGATGTTTTGACATATTTTATCCCTATTCTTAATATTTTATGAATACATTATCAAACAATTTCATAGATAAAAAAAATATATCGAGTAACATTTAGTGGGTTAGCAAATAACCACTAACCGTTCATCAGCATAAAGATATTTTTGCAAAACTTCGAAATTCAAAATCTTATCATATGTATTATCCTTTTTGTTGTTATTCTCCTTAAACTGCCACTGTGTTCACACTAGGTAAACTTCGAAATCATTTACTTAGATAAAATAACTTATATTTTTTACAGTATAATAATAGCATTAAATTTACGTAAACTTCCTATTTTCCGAAAAGGAGCTACGAGGGATGATATGAACAAGTTTATTAACTGCTTTTGGTTTTGTTTACATGCCTTTTCGTAAAGTTATTGCATAGCATTCGTCGTCACTCGGCAAATTCCGGAAAATATTCCTTAATTGAACGCTTTGAATGAAAAAAGGACCAAAATAAAATAACAGACACAAATATTAGGAAACATGGAAATATTTTATGAAATTTTGCAAGACAACTAACACATTGTGAAGTTAAAATTACTATTTCAACAAATAAGGTCTGCTTTAATACTGTTTGTTAGTTCAAACACATCATAGTGAAAGGAGTAGGTTCGATAAGGCCACAGATTTCTTGCTTAAATTTCAAATTTGGTATATTGACCAATATCACAATGAATCATAGGTAAAACAATGACTAGGTAAGACATATCTTGTCGTTGAACATTTACGTAATATACCGTTCTTTTCGTGACGTCACAAGTAGCACACACTTTGATTTTCAACGAAAAGTTCATGAAAACAGGTATTATTCCATTGATTTGTTGGACTGGAAAAATAGAGCGCATGCCTCGACAAAAGATCTGTTAACATAATGATTGTTATAACATTTACTTATCTCTCTTGAATATTAAGTTTGTCGAAGCCTGCACTCTATACTATGTTCCCAAGGCCTAAATTTGAATGAAGTATAGACGATTCTGTCAATTTTCTCCAAAATATTTACTTTTAGTCGATTTGAGTTGTAACTGTTTACGCTTTTTAAGTAAAGAGGTCAAAGTAGTTCTACATTGTATTTTACTTTCTTGATACATGTAGTTACATCTAAATGTTTTCTACGTGTTCTGACGGGAAATTGGAATCAATGGCATATCTTAAACAATACTTAAAATTTAATTTATTGAATTTGTTTTCAGAAAAAAAAAACGGCTTTCAGCTTTACATATTGTATTGGCAGCTGTCTAAAATTACCATCGTATATTTACTTCTAAATGTTAATTCTTTTTTTTTTATGTAGTAGGTTGTTGTTTATTGATTTTTTTTGTCCTTGTTTTCCTATCTGATTTTTGTTTATATCTTGTTGATTTTCTGTTAAATTGAAATAACCAATTTTTCAAGCGACACTATTTTGAATAAATAAAAGAAAAGAGGCGAAAAATACCGAAGGGAACTTCAAACTCACTAGTCGAAAACAAACTGACAATGTCATCGCAAAAAACGAAAAATAGTGGGTCACATAATTGCAATGAATTGAAATTTATGTTTAAAATGTTTCAAATTCTTTTTTGTTCGTTGGCTTCAATTCTTGTAAATAAATCAGATGTATCAATTGCATAAACTAGCATGATATAATTAGGTAACTCATCAACATTTACGAAAATATAGTTTATTGTACATTTTACCGCCAAATCCTACATCACACAATGAATCAAACAATGTATGTGCATTTTATTCAATTTCATAGCTTTTTTAATTTAAACGGTAGTAAAGTAGCATTGCTACATGTAATATTTCTCTCTGCACACGTGGGGCAGGATTTGCTTACACTTCCGAAACACTTGAGATCCCCCGGTTATTGTTTCCCAATCTTCAGATGCTGCTGTTTTTTTAGACTGTTGTTTGACCTTTGATCGTCTTTCGTTTTGTTGCCATTGCATTGGAAATATAAAAATAAGGAGATGCAGTATGATTGCCAATGAGACAACTATCTACCGCAGTTAAAATGAAGTGGGTGTTGGTTTTTGAATATTAGTTTGAATATCATTTAGCTATATTCCATCTATCTTTTGCACATGAACTTCGACTTTCATACAAGTTAGAGGTTTAGCGCTATAAAACCAGGTTCAATCCACCATTTTCTTCATAAGAAAATGCCTGTACCAAGTCAGGAATATGACAGTTGTTGTCCATTCGTTTGATGTGTTTGTGCTTTTGATTTTGCCATTTGATTAGGCACTTTCCGTTTTGGATTTTCCTCAGAATTCAGTATTTTTGTGATTTCACTTTGTTCTAATGGATTGAATACCACGACAAAGCAATAAAAAAGATGAATATCACATGTTAACTGCTACAACTTAATTGACATGACTGAAAATAGGTGTGTAGCTTTCGTAATGCGTAATGCATAATATGATTGCCTTAAATTCAATTCAAAATAAAATACAGTGTTTTATATAACAATTTTCTACCGGTAACTGGCTTGCTCTTCTAGCATAATTAAGAGAAAGAGGGATAGAAAGATCATCACTTGTTCTAAGTATGTCCTTGTATTTTCAGCAGAAATAACTATAACATTAACATTGTTTGAATTCCTTCCAACTACGTACACGTTAAAATTATTGTCAACAGAGATACAATTTGAATTTCTAAGGACGCTTTCATCCATAAATGTCCATTGTACTTTATCTTTTATAGCATAACTTAAGGCTAGTTTGCTATTTGTATGAACAATATGTCACTTAATATAATATATCAAACTTGGTATTTTATAACGAAATATATAATATTTTTTTAGTTGATATACGGATTGATTAAATTAATTCCATTTGCAGCTACAGAACACAAGATTGTGCCGTCTGTCACAGTGAGACCGAAGTACTTAGAATTATGTTTTAATTCATAAATTCAAAGGAGCATAATTTATCAAAAAAAAATAAACAGCTGTATATTAGATTAGCTATCCCGAAAGTGTGCTTCAAAGCGTTTATTTAATTAAATACAAATGTGAATAAAGTTCAACATTTACTGTGTGCCTAAGCCGCTGCAGGTAACAAACACAAACAAAACACCAATCTACAAGAATAAATACACAAATTTTCATTTTGTATTCAAATTCAATTTATAAAACAAAATTTAAGATTAAGTGTATACACAATTCTAAATCATAATGATAATAAATAGCACTTAACATTTTGTCGGTTGGGAGGTTGAATCGAACGCAAGCCTCGAATGGCAATATCTTAAATTCACATTACTGCCAAAACTATAGCACGCAATTTTTGAATTGACCATACTCAAATATCAAAGTTAGTTCTAACTCAGTATATTTCACATACTTAATACTTTAAACCCGCGTATAAATAATAAACAAATATATGTGGGAATGTTACCAACCAGTGAATATAACTTTAACAAATATGTTTATTCAATACTATTATAATGCATTACTTATATGAGTGTCCAGAAATTGCAACCATTTTTTTTTCTTCACTGACGTAAGATTTGTCATCATCAGTACCAGAGTATATGACAAACAAGACGATTTCAATTTTAAAATTAAAAATTATCATCACCTTAGCAGCAATATACCAACTTCACCCGCCTATGGAGTATACATTTCTCAACTTATACTACATTCAAAAGCTTGTAGCTGCTATTTATACTTTGTAAAACGTCATCGGTGTATGGGCAAAAAAAATAATGAGCCAGGGTTTGTCGGAGAATGTCTCGTCCTTTTTTCTCAAAAAGATAGTCATTGATAATAGGAAAGTACCAATACATAAAACTAGTAGATACATATTTAGTGTAATGTTCATAAATAATACATGATTGAGTATAGATTCTAGGTTCTGACGTTGTGTATCATTTTATCTATTTTATAGTTTCTCTTCATTTGTCTCTGATATTTTATATTCCTCTGATTTGACGTAGCCTTGTATTTGTACAGTTTCGGGCTTGAGGCGTTTCTGATGCGGGTATGTCTAGATGTGCAGTTCGAACTCAAGAGATTTCAGAACTATAGTTCACTTTGTATTTATATTTTTCTTAATGTGTACTTTATTGAGAAAATGTACAAGCCATTATGTTTTACTATATTACAATTATCATTTACAAAAACTGTTTTTGTTGGCGTCTTTGTTTGATTTATTTGTATGTTTGTTTTGGATGTTTTAAGTTAGTTTTGTTGTATATCTATGATGTATGTTTACACAAAGTTTGCTGCTGGATCTCAGTCAATGTCACGTAAACCAATTATGTCTGTTTGGGTTGCGCACACAATTTGTTTGTAATATGACGGAACCTTCAACAACTGTCATACAAGCATTAGGTTTGGCAAGCTATAAAACATTGTTTATCCCGCCATTGTCAAAAGAAAATGCCTGTTCAAAGTCAGAAATATAACAGTTTTTTTTCAAATCGTTCCACTTGTTGATATAGGCGAGCATTTCGTTTTGTCAGATTTTATGGACTTCGCATTTTTTTTTTTATTATTTGGTGTTTGGTATAATTATTTATCCTTTGTTCTTTGTCACATGGATATGTTGCTATCGCTTTTGATCTATCAGTTTTGGAATAGTCTGACAATTTTGTTTAAGTTACTAGTATCTGTAAAAGTCATTCTACCATTGGGTAATATGCAACTACCCCGTGTACTATAATACTTCCTCATTTAATTTATATTTTTTCAGCTTCACATTTATTACTTCGATTGACTTAGATGATATAAATAAAGTTATAGAAGATACCAGGCTTATTATGTTGTACGCCAGACGTGCGTCTCGTCTACAAAAGACGCTCGAATCCAAAATGTTAAAACAGCAAATTAAGTACGAAGATGAACAGCATTGGGGACCATAAATTCCGAAAGGTTTTGCCAAATACAGCTTTGCGGCATCATTACAATGACATGATTGTCTTTTTTATTTGTGGTGATTATATCGCATGGTTTTGTCCTTTTTTGAAGATCTGTGGCATCTTGCTTGATATTTTCAATGTTTTTCCGGTATTCAGTTATTTCACTTTCTTTCCCCTTCAATAAGTCCAGCAGCTCGCCATTACGTTTATTTTCTTTTTCTTCTGTTGCATTTATTATTTGTTTCATTATGTCGTCTAGTATTTTGTCTAAGTGGTCGTTGATTGTAGTTATGGATTGTTTGATTTCTTGTTCAATCTGCCTATTCTTCTCAGATAACCTCTTTGAGTTGTGGTCTCTGTCGTTTTGAATTCCTTATTGGAGAATTATATATTGTTTTAGAATTTTTTATTGTTTTGAATTATGTTAGCCAATATACCGAAGCCTCAAAATTCCATGAGATTTTCGACAATACAAATACCGCAGCAAAGAAATTGAATGTCATGCTTTTTGCAATAAATGTATAACTTCCTAATCATGTTTTTCACAGTTTTTAGTAATTTTGACAATATCACATGATGATTTCGTGTACTTACTTATTGGTAAGGTGATGTGTTTATTTGTTCCCTTCGATATACCGTGTTGAGTTTTGCATTCTTTACAAAACCCTTCATCACATTCAAAACACCAGACACTTGATGGTTTGATAATATTGCCGTGGTAACATCTTTCACACACGGGTGTTGTTGGGGCCATGTTAAACGATAACTGCAATTAAAAAAAATGATTCAAATATTGTTTGTAGTCTGACAGCTTTTTGTACTAAAATGCCTTTTTGCATTTAGCATTAAGCATTTTGTACTATGCAAAAAAAGGTAAAAACTATCTGAAAAGGGGAATAACCCAAATCTTGTCTCGCTAAACCATTACAATTTATCTTTAACTTTTACATGTTTTATAGATTAGGCAAACAATTGTACAATCGACATTTAGATGAAAAAAAATCCTATATACAAAATTGACTATCAATTTTGACCATTTGACATATGTCTACTTGTAGATCTTATAAAAATAAGAAGATGTGGTATGATTGCCAATTAGACAATTCTCCATTAGACACCAAAATGACGTAGAATTTAACAACTATAGGCCACCATACGGCCTTAAACAATTAGCAAATCCCATATAAAAAACTATAAAAGGACATGAAATGACAAAATGTAAAACGATTCAAACGAGAAAAACTAACAGTCTGATTTTTGTACAAAAAAATTAACAAAAAAACAAAACAAATGATATACAGCAACATACTACTACTGAATTTAGCCTCCTGACTTGATACAGTCACATACACAATGTGGTGGAGTTACACAAGTTTGCTGGCACCAAACACTCCCCCTAACATGTTGACAGTGGTATAATGGTTCAACATAAAAACAAACTATACTTTGTTGCGCCTGTCACAAGTCTGGAGCCTCTGGTCTTTGTTATTCTTGTATGTTTTATTGATTTTAATTCATTTATATGTTCGGAGTTTAGTGTGACGTCCATTTTCTCTGAACTAGTACACATTTTTGTTTTTGGGCCAGCTGAAGCCCGCCTACGGGTGCGGGATTTTCTCACTTTGTTGAAGATCCATTGGAGGCCTTTGGCTGTTTTCTGCTCATTGGTCGCGTTGTTGTCTCTTTGACATATTCACCATTTCCATTCTCAATTTTATACAAATCAGTTGAAAAGAGCTCAACGCATCAGACCGATAAAAGCACACAAAAAATATTAACAACAACACCCCCCCCCCCATCTTTTGTGGGAAAAATTTGGTTGATTATATAGGGAGTCACTGACGCATGACTGGAGCGGGCCCCCTCTAAGGTCAGTCAATGGGCCCCCCTTATGAAAATTTCTGGATCCGCCACTGGTTGACATCATGCATAAATAAAGGAGCATAGTTATGCAGTTCGGGTTGGTCACCTAGTCCTGTGTGAATCTTCAGCAATAGCCACTCTCCCATATTATACACTATAGTAGAAAATTCCTCTCTATTTTGTTGATCTTGTATGGCTAAAAAAAAATTCTATTTAGAGTTTCTCTCTATCATCTATAGGTTTTGCCCAAAACATAAAAATGGATATATGTCTAATTTCATGGGCAATGATTCCTATAAGTGGGATGATAGTTCTGGCTTTGTTGGCCCGATTATTTCAACTATGTTGGCGTATTTTCAGATCTTGTGTTGCTGCGCTTTCCTTCATTGTCTATTGTTATCCCCAAAACGTAACATATGGATAAAAATCACAGCTTTAGGGCAAATACTTCTATAAAATCTGACTTGTAGATCTTACCTTATCGATCATTTTTGTACATTAAAGTTTTTCGCCATCTATCATAATTTTCAGACAAATAGGCAAACACGAAAAAAATAGTTTGTCATTAAGGACAATAACTCCTTTAATGAGCCGTCTTGCAAATATCGTAATAGACAGAAGGAAGAGCGTAATATTATCAACGTTTTTACTCCATCAGATTTTCTGTATCTTTAAAAGTTTTTGAAGATTATAGACTGAACCTAAATTTTACCCCTCTGAACTACTTTCCGTAATATCAGCCAGTTTAGTTGACAGGCTGGAATATCGGACACATTTTTATTTACCAGATACCTAAATGATTATTGTTGCTAAGCGTGGTTCCAATTGAATCAAATTCAGATGATAAGTTTCAAATCTACTATTATCACAAATAAAAATTCCAGGACTGTTGTGTATGCACCGGTTGGTATGAATCGCTCAGTATGTGGATAAGTCAATACTCAACAATAGAAGCTAGTCTTCGATACATGCTTTTTTTATTAATTGTTATCTGCTTTGAATTAGCTGTCAGTAACTGCTAGTACTCTTAGATCTGTACTTTGTGTCTTTCTTGTTGTAAGGGATGTATTATATACCCTGTCACATCCGGTCAGTGTTTTTATTAGAGTATCAATCTGATGAGTTAAGCCCTTTAACACTGATGTTTATAGTTAGTTCGTATGTTGTGCTGTAACGCAACTGCCCAAGGTTAGGGGAGGGTTGAGAACTCACAAACATGTTACACCGCGACACATTCTGTATGTGCCTGTCCCAAGTAAGGAGCCTGCAGTTCAGTGGTTGTCGTGTAATCATGTCTGTCATATTTGTTTTTCGTATATTGTTTTGTTATAATTTAGGCCGTTAGTTTTCTCAATTGAATTGTTTTATTTCTTATGTCGGGGCCTTTTATAGCCGACTTTTTAGTATGAGTTTTTCTCATTGTTGAAGGCTGTACGGTTGCCTATAATTGATAACATCCACATCATTTGAACTTTGGTGGATAGTTGTCTCATTGTCAATCATACCACATCTCCTTTAAATATCTTTATATAATAACTGTGTTCTTATTGAAAACAATAAGACGGCGTCAGGTTTACATACTATCATGTATTAGAGAAGAGGTTTTTATTCGTTAAAACTGTAATCACGAGACAATCTTATTACTACATGTACATTTGTATCACTGACACAATGAGGGCTGCACATATCACATATGTTTTGAAATTAACAATCTTGGTTTAAAAAAATAAATAAAAAGACAATATCATAGAGATGCACTAAGAATGCCAAATACTACTCACGCTTGCCATTGTTTTAAGTTGACATACAATATATCTTAATTACATACATGTACACATGATGATTTATATATATATATAGATGTTCGAATACATGGACAAGGATTTTAAATAAACTACATGTATCGAGTGATATTGATTCAATTTCCCGATTGAAGTGATAATTTTTGTACACACTCATCCTATTTATTTCCTTATACACTCTAGTATTATAAGTATTATAATATGTACTAACTGAATACAACATTCTTGATCTTTATGCCAATACAAGAAGAATATTTTGGTAAACTTTGAATGCTGTTAACATTAAATCAAAGTACTGACTTACTGTTTACTCGTCATCAGATTATTCCAAGATCTGGTGAATGGCGAATATAATATAAGATACAGATTTCCGTCTTCTTGTAGACCCTTTGAAGTAACTTGCAGTTATTTTAACAATTTCAATGTAAAATATAACAGTCATAGTTGTGACAAAAACATTGAAACAGTTAATCAATTTGGTAGTTTTTGTGTGGAGTGTGAGTTGAAAGGGACCACAGAATAATTAAAAACGTACCGGGCACTCTCTGAACGTAGGCTAATGAAAGATAGCATTCCGATCGAACGTGACTGCGTGTGAAATAGTCAAACATACATCCTGGCCTCAATTTGTTTTCCTAACAAAACTAATTAGTGGTTTGAATAGATTTTGATAACAAAGGAGATAAGTCATAGAAGCCTATTTTTGTTGGCTATGTTTAGTTAGTAGCAGATGGAGGAACTACTAAAAAAGGGGGACGAGTGGTTACATTTGACTCGGAATAGGGAGGAGTGGTCAAACCCTATATTTTACTAATTTTTACTCGACAATTGGAAGAATTTGGACCTGTGAATACCAAACCTTTCCTTTTCCATGTATATTTGCTTACTATAGCAGCAAATAATTGTATAACATTAATATACCTGGGGTTTGGGACATTTTTTTTTCTCTATTCGTAATATTTTTCGAATATATAATAATACAAATTGACAGATAAGAATATAAAGATATATCGAGTAGAAGACAGAGGGTCAGCAAATTATCACACACAGTTTACCGACATAGAAATCAACTTCCTTTTTGCGAAATTGAAAATTGAAAATCTTACCGTTTTTATTATCCATTTTGTTGTATTCTTCCTTAAACCAACACTGTACTTATACATGTACGTGTAAAAACCTATTATTACATTGGTTGTAATGAAATAGCGTGATTTTTTAGTGTAATTTGCTCTGTGAACATTGTCAATGACGGTTGCATCAAAATCGAGAATTCATACAAAAAATATAGTTCATTGTATTTAATTTTGTATTTCCATTAAAAATGACAAGTGCATAGTTCATAAAGAATATTTAAGCAAGAAATCAAATATCGAAAAATATTCAACTTGTGACCGAACAACACTGATAATTAACCCACTTGCTAGTGCATTCGTGAATTAACTTGTGCTGGTCGGTCACTCGTTAGATATTTTTCTTTATTTGAATTCAAGCATTAGTTATTCTATAAGTATTCATGGCGTGTTACATTCTTAGCATAATATTACAAACTTTTGTTCCGAATAGATCAGTTTTCAAATATTTTGTGTAAATAAAAGTTGATATAACATAAGAAGTATAAAAATAAAATATTTTGATTTCAAAACAATTCTTTAACAAGAAAATATAGGGACAAAAAGAGAGGCGAAAGATACGAAAGGGACATTCAAACTCATACATGTAAGTCGAAAATAAACAAAATTTATTCTAGCTTTTCAGATATTAGGCAAATATTGGTAAAAATCGTCATTAGAAAGGCAATAACTCCATTAAGGAGTCGTCTGACAATTCAGACTGATTTGTAGATCTTGTCTTGCTGCTCATTTTTGTTCATTCAAGTATCTCTCTATTTTTTATAATTTTCAAGATAACGGTCAAATATTTAAAAAAAAAGATAAATTTGTCATTTTAATGCCAATAACTCCTACACAAAATACTTTTCCAAATTTTGATGTAAATATACAATAGGTATATCTCATCATTTTGAAAATATCTGCAACAGATAGATTTACACTATTTTTAGCGGTGTTCAAGATTATAGACAAAACTTGTATTTTACCCCTACATTATATTTTTAGACATGGCAGCCATGTTGTATGACAAGTGGGATCATCGAACACTTTTTAAAACTAGATACACAAATGATGATTGTGGCCATGTTTGGTTAAATTTGGTCTTACAGTTTCAGAGAAGAAGATTTTTGTAAAAGTTAACAACGACGACGACGGACGACGGACGCAAAGTGATGAGAAAAGCTCATTTCGACCTCTGGGCCAGGTGAGCTAAAAAAAGAACCAGTATGCGTAATGAAGCGATTACCACTGGTATTTCATCTGTCAACTAATCGGACTCAATCTAGTGAACATTCAAGCTAGCGACCATTCTAGCAACTGATAAAGTTTACAATAAGAAAACACAAGCTGGCGAACAGTCAGGGAAAACGCAAATTTGCATAATATTTGAATGATCTTGTCAAAATAAAACTCTAGCGCACAATGTGATATGTATCGATTTTTAATATTTGACAACTAATGCATACATTTAAAATTAATAGGTAGGTTAGTTGATATATGATGGTCTGCTTAAAGTCCAGTGGCAAATATTTGATGCATATTCAAGACGAGACAAAGTTAACAGTTAATACGCTAGGTTGTTCTCCAAGGTAGGTAGCCGGGAAAGAAGAGCGTACAATATGACTGCCACAGACTAGGAAAACAGGGCAAGTTAGACAGGTGTAGTCATTTTGCTGTGCAATTGGTCCTAAAGGTTCAGCTTAATTGATTGATGCATTTTTGAAAGTAGGTCAGCATGATGCAGGTAATAGTATGTCACTGTGACTTACGTTTCTAGATTAATTAACTTTGGTGATTCATCCGAGTTCCCATCTCAGGAACTATAAATTAAAGAATTACCTTAACTTAAATAGTACATATAAAAGGAACATAACAAGACTTTAAGCCATTTTCATTGATATTTTGTTGTGTGTCTTTTTATGTTGTAAAGTTACACCACTGTTTCAGGTTTGGGTGAAGGTTGGCGCCTGTTAAAACGTTTAAACCCGCTAAATTTTTATGCACATGTCCTCAGTCAGGATCCTGTTGTCCAGTGGTTGTCGTTTGTTATATAGACATGATAGATTAGACCGTTGGTTTTCCTGTTTGAATTGTTTTACACTAGTTATTTTGGGACCCTTTATAGCTTGCTGTTCGGTGTGAGCCAAGGCTCCGTGTTGAAGGCCGTACTTTGACCTATAATTGTTTACTTTTTACACATTGTGACTTGGATGGAGAGTTGTCTCATTGGCACTCATACTACATCTTCTTATTCATATTGAAAAAAAACATTAGACAGTACAACAGACCACACCAACAACCGACTCCCCAAAGACACAACAACCGACTCCCCAAAGACAGTATATATTGATAAGTTTTATAGAGAACATAAGTGGTAGCAGTACCAATACGTGGTCTTATCTGTAATCGGATATTTTACTGCCGATGGTATTTTAAAAATGGGTGTAACTGGGAAATGAATAACAATATTAAGTCAATGTCAGATAAATATCAAGTTTTTTGCACGAGGTGTAGAAACTTGGAAAGGGTAAGGTCCGTCAACAGTTTCATCATAAAGATTGATATCATTCTGACATTGGTCTAATATTCTAATCTGCAGCCAAAATGGTTACTTATAATAATAAAATTGAGAATGGAAATGGGGAATGTGTCAAAGAGACAACAACCCGACCATAGAACAGACAACAGCAGAAGGTCACCAACAGGTCTTCAATGCAGCGAGAAATTCCCGCACCCGGAGGCGTCCTTCAGCTGGCCCCTAAACAAATATATGTACTAGTTCAGTGATAATGAACGCCATACTAAACTCCAAATTGTACACAAGAAACTAAAATCAAAAATAATACAAGACTAACAAAGGCTAGAGGCTCCTGACTTGGGACAGGCGCAAAAATGCGGCGGGGTTAAACATGTTTATGAGATCTCAACCCTCCCCCTATACCTCTAGCCAATGTAGAAAAGTAAACGCATAACAATACGCACATTAAAATTCAGTTCAAGAGAAGTCCGAGTCTGATGTCAGAAGATGTAACCAAAGAAAATAAACAAAATGACAATAATACATAAATAACAACAGACTACTAGCAGTTAACTGACATGCCAGCTCCAGACTTCAATTAAACTGATTGAAAGATTATGTCTTCATCATATGAATATCAGGCACAATTCTTCCCGTTAGGGGTTTAGTATCATACCATCATAACATATATGAGAAGAAAATAACCCGTGTCATGCCAACAACTGGTTTTTAAATAAATGTGTTTAGTGCCGATGCAAAGACCCTATAAGTGAATCAATATTAACGCCAAAATATGCAATTTTTAATGACCTGACAACAGTATCGTAACTATATCCCTTCTTAATAAGTCTATTTAAAGGTTTTGTTAGCTTCAGAGGTGAATACTGACATTTTTGTGCTTTATAAAGAATATTTCCATAAAAAATTGGATGTGAAATACCTGAACGTATAAGAAGTCTGCATGTTGAGCTATATTTACGAATGATGTCCTTATACCGATGATAAAATTTAGTAAATGTTTTGACTAGTTTGTGATATCGAAAACCCTGGTGTAATAATTTTTCAGTAATACATAAATTTCTCTCGTTAAAATCTAAAACATTGTTACATACACGAGCGAATCGTACAAGTTGAGATATATAAACACCGTAAGATGGTGACAAGGGAACGTCACCATCTAAAAATGGATAATTAACGATAGGAAATGAAAAATCATCTCTTTTATCATATATTTTAGTATTAAGCTTTCCATTAATGATATAGATATCAAGATCGAGGAAAGGGCAGTGGTCATTGTTAGTATTAGCTTTATTTAAAGTAAGTTCAACAGGATAAATTTCTTTAGTATACATACTGAAGTCGTCATTATTGAGAGCCAAAATATCATCCAAATATCTAAAAGTATTATTAAATTTGTGTATCAGATGTTGTTTCGATGGG